CTCTCACACACACTACTGAAACGCTCTCACACACACAACTGAAACGCTCTCACACACACTACTGAAATTTTAGCTCTCACACACACTACTGAAACGCTCTCACACACACTACTGAAACGCTCTCACACACACTAGTGAAACGCTCTCACACACACTACTGAAATTTTAGCTCTCACACACACTACTGAAACGCTCTCACACACACTACTGAAACGCTCTCACACACACTACTGAAACGCTCTCACACACACAAATGAAAAGCTCTCACACACACTACTGAAACACTCTCACACACACTACTGAAATTTTAGCTCTCACACACACACAACTGAAACGCTCTCACACACACAACTGAAACGCTCTCACACACACTACTGAAACGCTCTCACACACACTACTGAAACGCTCTCACACACACTACTGAAATTTTAGCTCTCACACACACTACTGAAACGCTCTCACACACACTACTGAAAAACCAAGTCATTTCAGTTGAACAGGAAGGCATTTCAGTTAAACAGGAAGGTGTTTCAGTTGAACAGGAAAGCATTTCAGTTGAACAGGAAGGCATTTCAGTTAAACAGGAAGGCATTTCAGTTAAACAGGAAGGCATTTCAGTTGAACAGGAAGGCATTTCAGTTGAACAGGAAGGCATTTCAGTTGAACAGGAAGGCATTTCAGTTAAACAGGAAGTTAATTCTTGACAAGGAAACTGAAGGAAAAAGTGTTAGATTTCAAACAAACCACTACACAGACGTCTACTCAGCAACCTGTTAGTTAGGGGTGGGTTTTTATAATCGATTTATTGATTAAAATTGATTCTGGCTTGGATAACGTGAAATCGATTCATTAAAATCCTGAATCGATTTTTTAATATAAAAAATATATATTTTACCCGAAATGCCAGAATCTCTGGTGAAACCTCACAAAATTTCAACAACCACCAAACAGCTAAGACAGTAAATGAGAGCAGGTACACGGCTTCTGCACAAAGACGTAAACACACAGCGCGACCCGCGGATCAGAATCAGTGAGATGTCGCCTTTCTCACCCGACAGCACGGACACGGTCGGGGCTGAAAGCCGACAGCTTGCTGACTCTGATCTGTCGGCAGGTCCGCGCTTTGTTTTCACGCCGTTTTTGCGCCGATTCTAAAGCTGTTAGTTTGATCTCTCTCGAAACAATATTGACTGAACCAGCAGCAAAAGAAGATCCAAACTGCGCTTCACATAAACATCGTCATGAATTCCCTCACTGTTTTGCTTTCACCACGATAAAATCGCACGTCATGCACAGCCCTCTCTCTCTCTTTCTCTCTCTCTGTGCTTCAAGAACAGTTTCCCGTCTAAAAATCTGTTTTCTGTATTATTCGCTTGCTTGTTATGCACAAGTCTACTGTTGTTTACAGCGCAGTCGGCCGCTGTTTTTTTTTTTTTTTCATTTTACATACTTCCGAAAAGAAAACCTAATTTCTGCCGTTCAATACTGAATAAATTTAAACTTTTTAAAATTATGCAAAATGCAAAACGTTAGCCGTGTCTCTAATAAAACCGCTGTAACGTCAGAGGTAACGTTCATATGTTGATTAATGGTTTTCTTTCGTTTTTGATGTACTGCAGAATATTTTTTATAAAATCCCAGGCCAGGAAAACCACCTTCATGTTTTTATGTGTTTTATCTTCAGCTACTTTGACACAAAGGCATCTGCTGTGATGCTCACACCTTTGATAAAGTCTTGCGTGTGTCAGCTTCCTTTTTTTAAATACAAAAATATGTAAATGTACTGATCTGAATTATAATATTTCTGACTGTCAAAATTCCCCATAATCAAATCGAATTGAATTGAATCGAATCGTGGAACAAATCGATTCTGGACCTTAGTGAGACAGCTGCATTACTTAACAATATATTAGCCTCAGCATAAGTCAAAATTTAGAATAGCGGGAGACGTGCATTATCCTGGTTATTTTTTTGGCATATGTGCTTTTTGTCTTTTTTAGCAAAGAAAAATATCTTAAAATCATCAATAAAACCAGGGAGAGAAGGCTTAGCGTTCCTCCATTTAGCACAATGGATATGATATTTACTCAAAAGTATGATGATGTTAATAATGTCTGAGACATCCAATGCTAGATGATCCATATAAAAAAATTATAATGTAATTCAAACAGTGGCACATCATTAATATTTAGGGAAATCCAATTTTTTAAGTTGCACCAAATACATTGTCTGATAGGGCATAGAAAAAAAAAGATGTTCTAGGGTTTCATTTTCATCAGTACAAAAAGAACACTGATCCACCTCAAAGCCAAATCTCTTTTTTTAGAAATTCTGCCACAGTATTAGTTTTGTTTAAAGTGTGTTTCTTTAACTTTAGGTAGAATAGGCTATTTCATAAATCTTTAGTATGCTTTATCCAGTGTATATGAAATAACTAAATTAGAACCATGCCATGTAACCATTCTGTTGTAACTATGAAATATTTTGTCTTTGAAGAAACTACTAACAAATTTCTTATTGCATTTTTATCAAACAGCTGACATTGCCCTAGCAATAAATTTGGGAGCACTGATGAGAAATTATTGTATATCATAAAAATTTTAATCAAATAAAGCAGAGGCAGTGGGACCAGTTCACAAAATTTGTTATATTCTCTTTGAGAACAGTTTAGACAATATTTTTCTGAAAAGTCTGTGTAACTTAGAATGACACCGTTATCATCCAACAAATCTGTTATGAATATAATATTTTTGTTCAAACCAGTCACTCTTGAAAATTGATTTTTGATTAAGTGTTATTACCCTATTATTCCATAAGGTTGAATTATGGGGAGAAGTTGTGGGTAAATCTCATTTTCCCAAAAATGCAACGTCTGTTTTATAAAGTTTGATATCTTTATGGGGATTTTATTTGCCGCAAAATCACATTTCGAATAAATTCTAATCCTGTATACTATTTTATTAAACAAGAATCATGGGATGTGGAGCTAAGTAGAGTCTGGCTGTGACAGACAAGATTTTAACCATTTAATTCTAAGGGTGCCAACCATAAATTCCAATTCTGGAGTTTTGATACCACCTTTATTGTATCCCTTCACAAGCTGAGATCTTTCTATGTAATGGGTTTTATTCCTCCACAAAAATTCGAACACATTTCTATTTATGGTTTTCATGGTATTTATCGTTTTTTTATTTTTATATCGTTTACGTGGCGCAAAAAAGGTTGGGGACTGCTGTACTAGCAGGTTGCTGAGTAGAAATCCTTGTAGTGTTTTGAAATATACCACTTTTTCCATCAGTTTCCTTGTCAGGAAACAACTTCCTGTTCAGCAGAAATGCCTCTGGTTTCAGTGGTGTGTGTGAGAGCGTTTCAGTAGTGTGCGTGAGAGCGTTTCAGTAGTGTGCGTGAGAGCATTTCAGTTGTGTGTGTGAGAGCTAAAATTTCAGTAGTGTGTGTGAGAGCGTTTCAGTTGTGTGTGTGTGTGAGAGCGTTTCAGTTGTGTGTGTGAGAGCGTTTCAGTAGTGTGTGTGAGAGCGTTTCAGTTGTGTGTGTGAGAGCTAAAATTTCAGTAGCGTGTGTGAGAGCATTTCAGTTGTGTGTGTGAGAGCTAAAATTTCAGTAGTGTGTGTGAGAGCGTTTCAGTAGTGTGTGTGAGAGCGTTTCAGTAGTGTGTGTGAGAGCGTTTCAGTAGTGTGTGTGAGAGCGTTTCAGTTGTGTGTGTGAGAGCTAAAATTTCAGTAGTGTGTGTGAGAGCGTTTCAGTAGTGTGTGTGAGAGCGTTTCAGTTGTGTGTGTGAGAGCTAAAATTTCAGTTGTGTGTGTGAGAGCGTTTCAGTAGTGTGTGTGAGAGCGTTTCAGTAGTGTGTGTGAGAGCTAAAATTTCAGTAGTGTGTGTGAGAGCGTTTCAGTAGTGTGTGTGAGAGCGTTTCAGTTGTGTGTGTGAGAGCTAAAATTTCAGTTGTGTGTGTGAGAGCGTTTCAGTAGTGTGTGTGAGAGCGTTTCAGTAGTGTGTGTGAGAGCTAAAATTTCAGTAGTGTGTGTGAGAGCGTTTCAGTTGTGTGTGTGAGAGCGTTTCAGTTGTGTGTGTGAGAGCATTTCAGTAGTGTGTGTGAGAGCATTTCAGTAGTGTGTGTGAGAGCGTTTCAGTAGTGTGTGTGAGAGCATTTCAGTAGTGTGTGTGAGAGCGTTTCAGTAGTGTGTGTGAGAGCGTTTCAGTTGTGTGTTTGAGAGCTAAAATTTCAGTAGTGTGTGTGAGAGCATTTCAGTAGTGTGTGTGAGAGCGTTTCAGTAGTGTGTGTGAGAGCATTTCAGTTGTGTGTGTGAGAGCTAAAATTTCAGTAGTGTGTGTGAGAGCGTTTCAGTTGTGTGTGTGAGAGCGTTTCAGTTGTGTGTGTGAGAGCGTTTCAGTTGTGTGTGTGAGAGCGTTTCAGTAGTGTGTGTGAGAGCGTTTCAGTAATAATGTCCCTTACGGCACCTCATACAGATGGGTTACTCTTCACTGCTCTCCTCCCTCTCTGCTGTTCAGCTTGTGTTGAGTGAGCTGCGCTTTCATTTAGCTCCCGATCATAATGTCCTGCATTCAGTGATTTGCAATTAATATTAATGGAATACGCTGCTTGCAAACATAATCAGCCCTTTGCACATTTGCAAACTTAATCCAACTGGATAAACACCACAATGTTACCTTCAAAGCAACCTTATAGTTGGACGACCTATAAGAATAATTCAGAGTGAATAATCACCAGTTTTAGTGTGGAGCCTTTAGCTATCAAATACGAGCTTGAACAATAAAGACAGCCCACAGGGGCGAGAGGGGATTTGCTTTAAATATCTTAGTGACCAATCAAAAAGAAATAAACCAAAACGTGTCAGAGTAAAAAAACATTTTTCTCGAATCTCCAGAAAAAAAATGAGGTAATATTTTTTTCTGGAAAGGGAAAAAAAAATCTCTCTACAAATCTCCTTTAGTTCATGAACAGATGTTCTGCTTCACTTTCAGAGTACAAACCGAGGATTGTTTGGTCTCAGTCAGACTGGAAGGACTGCACACGAACACTGGTGACCGATCACCTGAATTCATCTCATCACTGTGAGTCCGAGCTTGTTTATTTGACTGAAACACAGACAAAGATGTTCCTTTCTCTGACGTGTTCAGAATCTGTTTGTCATCGTTTCGTTCGGAGCGCTCGCTGTGGAAACGTGAGTCACAGCTGCTCACACACACGGTGCTCCATGTTCAAACTGTTTTTTAATAAATAATAAAGCTGCAGAGCCTTTTGAAGGAAACTTTTTAGGTAAAGTCTCTCTTATTGGAAAAGTCCCACAGGGTGGAGCACTGGGGCTGTAACAGTGGACGACATGATGGTGTTTGTATCACGTTTACTGTCTTACGAACAGAGATGCTCCCACAGACAGGAACACGTTCTTCTCTCTTTTTGTTCTTTAGTTTGCGGACACCATGGGCGCTCGGCAGTCCGTCATTCATATTACGAACAAGACTGAGGGCTACACCCTTCAAAACCCCAGGTGACCACACTTCTTACTGTGACTGAGATGCTGCCTGCACATCACCTGACACCTCACTGATATCACTAATAAAAGTAACAGAAGGAATCAGACGAGCAGTAAATTTCTTCTGAACACTGACATGATGTTGTCATCTCAGCAGCAATAGCCCTGTCCATGTTTCTTTCTCTAAACAAACTCATCCACCTGACTCATTATGAGAGTTCGGGTCCTGTTGGAATAAGAATATTAATTCATATTTTTCTTTTCCTCACTAGTCTGCATCTTGTTAGCGGACTCTGCCAAATCCCTTTGCCAACAAAACTTGGGCCTTCTGAATGTGGCAGCGCTCTGTTCTCTAAGACTGGCGGCACAGCGCGAGGATCTGTTGGAGTCTTCACCTACGATCTCTACGATACAGCTGCAGACAGAGCTGATAAGAAAATAGCCGTCCTGTTCTCGGTTCCTTTTGACTACGGCCTGTACTCTAACTGGTGCGCCGTCGGAGTCTTTGACGGGGAAACAAACAGTGATAGTGCTCTTTATCATAAGATGTATCGCACTCCTGAGAGAGGGTTTGTCAGAGGAAAAGCTGATGGCTATGATCTGACTCACACAGATATTAATGTCACCATTAAATCCAGCATGACAAACTTCAGCGTTGCAACGCTGAAAGTTGAAGTACACAATAAAGTAATTGAATAAAAAATAAAGTAATTATGCAAATATGAGCTCTGATTGTTTTTGGGGCAGATCTTGAGGAAAGGCCTGATCACCCTTCATTAGTATTATTTTTATTTATCAGGATAAACAGATATAAACTTGAGTTAACCCAGGGTTTCCCATCTTCCACAGAAAACGGTCCTTACAACACAACAGACATTAGGAATAGTGATGAAAAAGGAGTATAAAAGAAATACCAGTAAAATACAATCCTGTTGTAAAAAGCGATCAACGCTCAGTATGGCTGTTTATTTCACAGGTGTGGTTGGTTGAACAGGTATCGAGGTGTGTGTTTCATGTTTGTGGCAGTGGAACAGACTCATCAGCAGAGCAGAATCATTTTCTGATCACACGAACACATTTCACCCAGCAGATAATCAATATGTCACTGAAAGCACGCTTTAAAAGACATAACCTGCTCCTGACAGTTTGAGTTTATGTTCTCTCAGCTGCAGCTGTTTGCGATTGTGAACCAGCTCCGTAGGACAGAAAACTCAGGGTTAACCCTGAAGTAACCCGAATGAGCAAAATTCTCTGGAGTTAAAAGCTTTAGTTGTTTAAAAATAAAGTTTTAACATCGAATCATTAAAGATCAGCTGAGCAGGTAACACATGCTTGCGTGGATGGGATGTACTGAGTTGGATTATTGATGAAATCAGACTGAAACGCTCCACCAAGTGTTTTTTAGAAAATCATCACTAACCTTTGAGGAAGGAAGCTTTCAAGGATTTAATAATCTTTTGCTGGTTCTGTGGGTTCAGGTCACGTTTCGCCTGTCTCGTGGGGTGTGGTTTCTTCCAGCTGTGTTCCCCTCCTGTTTCCATTCCCTGATTACTCCCTGTGTATTTAAGCCCTGTGTTTTCCTGTGCTCCCTGTTGCATCGTACTCTGAGTGTGTTCGAGTTTAGTCCTGCATTTTGGGTCCTTTCTCCCTGACGAAATACTGATTTGATGTTTCCTGTGCATTAATTTCAACATGTGATTCTTTGTTTTCTGAGCCCTAAACCAATAAATAAATTAGACTTTACTTTAACTTGCCCCTGTGCTTATTCACTGACATCTCATCTACTTTACTGATCTGGTTTCAGTTTGGGAAAATGTGTGAGGTTATACACATTGTTGTACATGATTGCTACCACTTTGCCCTCCTGGTCAGCTGACAGTAACATTTATTTATTAGCAAATATCTTGATAAAATGGAAACCAGAGCTCATGTGTAAAAAGGGCCACGACGTCTCACATAAACTTCAGTTTTTGCAGGTTTGACCAAATCTCAGCAAGCAGGTCCAGTTGGTGACTTAAAGAAACTGAGGAAGACTGAAGGATGATTTCCTGAGAAAACTACAAAACCATAGATATTCTCTTCATTCTGGGGCGTCTGTATCCAGTAAGGGTCCTAAGGTTCGACCCTTGCTAAGCGAGCCCGCCGCAGACATGAGCGAGACAGATAATGTTCCTCATAAATTAAAGGACACTTATCCTCAAAGCCATTAAGGGTTAAGTGAAATATTCCATCGTATTCAAAAATAAATTAAAAATCCTTCTTTAGTTGATGTTGTTATGGAAAATTTAACAATAACCTGCAACACAGTCAGTGAGCTTGATTTGTGGGTTTAATAAACACACTGCAATGTGGAGAGAGCATCCCAGTGAAACACCAGGACCATCTCTGTGGCCACCGTCCTTACATCTTCTATACAGACACACAGACAAAGAACATCCACAGACTCTCACATGTTGGTATAGCCCCCCTCTCACAGGGGCCATACCTCCTCTCTCACACAGAGAATTATGACCTTGTTTTCTGCTTGGCCGTCACCTAAAGATTTACATCCCTGATAAGCAGGAGTCCCACTATCTGTTTAACGTCTCCCATTACAACGGCCTCCCTGTGGTAACTTTCCACGTGCATGTAAACTAGTGACAGGAGTGCTCTCACTATGGTAAAGTGAGAAAGTGATATTACTATAACTAATGAGATGTGATTAAATATGTGATTAATACATGAGAAAAGAAATCCGCCACCACATTCCACCCTTTGTGATGCCACAATTAAGAATCACATAAAAACATGGAGATTTCTTTTCTAACTACTGAACATCAGCACAATTACGTACTCAAAGAAATTCCATAATGTGCATCCTCCCTATAGTCAGAAGGAAAAAAACAAATTCACACTTTATGGTCATCTTCGCTCCATCTGAGTCTCCACCCTTTGTTTGAAGGATGGCAGATACCATAAAAGAAAACACAATATGAGACCATATACAAAATGAAACAGCCTCTGTTGTTCATCTGCAAAGAAAACTTTACCCTTAGTTACATCAAGCTGCTCTTTCATAAGAACCTGTTGTTGAGATATGTTGTTGTTTGCTTTGCCCTGTCCAGATGTTTGCCATCAAGGACAGTGACTATATCTGTACCTAAGTGAATACCACAAACCTAAACTAACTTCAAAGTTAGTGCTTCCCAAAGTCTGGGGTAAAACCCAGAAGTAGCCATGAATTTCCACACAGCCAACATATATCAAACACTTCTGAGCTACATTTACAACAGAGAGATCAATCTTTCCTCTCTATCAGTCAGTGCATTGTGCTGTACTCGTTACTACTGTAGACCCATTTACACAGTGTAAACCCTCTCAAAGGCATTTACAATTATCTTTACTGTCCCCACAGCAGTGATTGGGGAAACCAAAACAACCACATTTAACTCTAGAAGAACAGCCGCATTCTTTAGGTGCTTCCAGCATGTTAGAGACCTATCAAAATCAATCGTTGAAATGTGATGAACCCAAAATCCTACTTTACAGTGTCAAACAACATGTCAAAGCTGAGTACACATGTCAAAAGAACTCACAACTATTGTTACTATGTTTACTCAGACAATGAGGGCCTAATGCACGTACGCATCAGGAACTGACATGCTAGATAATCAGTCTACCTACCCTACAAAATGCGCACAAGTTGCTGTAAAACGTGCATGCTATAATTACTCCAATCACTTCTACTCAGGCTCAGAGTTTGTGATGTTCGGAGAGTTATGTGAATGCATATCATTTATAAAATGATTATTAACGTCACACCAACGACCTCCTTAACCTAAAAACATACTAAGCTTTCCAGGGAAACTGATTGGTTGTTTAAGCAGGTGTTATCTGCATTCATTCGCTGATCCCTCTTGGGTGACACAGAGTCTGCTCTGCAGTCGCTGAGTTGAAGCTTGGCATGAGTGTTTCCTAGTTCTCGCTGGGTCTCTGAAGACTTCTGATCAGCACCCAGTCTCAATCTCAGTCTGGAGATTCCACCCTTGGGATGATTTCTTCCAGCAATACTCTGTGCTGCCAGTGGCGTGTCTAGAAATTTTTGTTGGGGGGGGCCAGGTAGGGGCACAGATTTGGAGAAGGGTGGCAGATGTAATTGGCAGATAATGTTAAAAACAAATCTACCAACCGTTAACCATAATTCAATAATCCTATAAACCTAATAACCGAATGCACTTTTAACTCTTATTAGAATGAGATTTTAACCACTACGGTGCAAAGTTTTTAGATACTGCGTTGATAAAGTACAAGAGATACAATCAGTCAGTCAGTGTTTACTCAGCATTCAAGGACAGCAATATTTGCATAGTATTTTTACTGACATGTAGTGCACATACCTCCCCCTCTGCTCAACAAACACGTGGCTGCTTTTGCACCCCTCCCCTCTCTGCTGAGGGCAAAAACAAGGCTCATGTGCAAAGTGAAGCAAAATAACATTGACAGAGGTTCAGAGAAAGGAGAAAAAAACGGAGCAGGCTCCCGTTGTTCACTTCAAGGAGGCGGCTCTACTATGTTTTGGGCAAAAACAGTTTTGAATATTAAAATACGAACATTTGTAACAAACAATTGACAAATTAGCCAATGCAAAACTTTATCTGCCTGTTAAAAAAAGAAGATAATCTTCTCACAAACTGGTGTTTGATTTTGAAACAGGAAAAAAGTGGAGAAACAACTGAAAAGACTAACATTTGAATAAAACCTGAAAGCAAGTAAATACTTTATATGCTGCCTTATGGTAAACTTTGGTAATATTGATAAAGAACAACACTGGCTGATGATGAAATCCAGTCAGCTGGCATGGTGACACTGCCAGTATTAACCTGCAGGGCTGGACTGGGACAGAAAATCTGGCATTTTTACTACAGACCGGCCCACCAGGTATTAAAGCCATAAAGACTTTGAATGAAAACAAACCCTGTTGTGACAGTGATGTACAGTCTTTTTGGTATATGTATGATTTCTATACATTTTACGTCAGATAAAAACTTTGGTTGTAAGATTTAGATAATTATTTAATAAAAGCGAGATATTTTAAATGAGAATAAGAAAGAAAAGTATTTCTTTGTGCCCCCTTTCCCTGTTAATGCCCTACCTGCCCCCCCTGGCAACACTTTGCTAGACCCGCCCCTGCACAGTCACCAGCTGTCAGCTACTTAGAAAAGGATCCTGGTGTTATTTGTCTCTCAGAAACAGTTCATAACTTCAACTCATTCATGTCACCTAAAGGTAAACCTGTTTCTCCATCACAGCTCTGATGATTCAGTAAGGACATCTCCTGGTTTCATCTTCATGTTTCCCTCTCACCAGATATCCAAACCCACATCATGACCAGCAGCTTTACAGCTGTGGCTCCAGCAAACATCAGCTGATACTAGAAATTAATATTAAATAAATTCTAACAACAGCTGATCAAGCTTAAACGTGCTGCTGTTGTTTAGCACGACATCTGCTGGTTTCCTGTTTCTGGCACAAAGTGGGCGATAAACAAACAAGAGAGACGATCAGCTGATCATTGATCAGTTTCATGATTGAAGTAGAAACAGGAGAGGGAGGGGGGAGAATGAGAGAAGAAGAGGCAGCTGTGCAGCATAAAGACAGAATAACTCCAGCTTTGTGTCTTTTTTCCATTCTAGCTAAAGTCCGGGACAAACTGCGTCTCTTCTCAGCTGAATACGAAACGTGTAAT